GGTTCAGGCAATTCTCCTGCCTCAGTCTCCTGAGTAGCTGGGATTACAGGCACGCGCCACCATGCCCAGCTGATATTTTGTATTTTTAGTAGAGATGGGGTTTCACCATGTTGACCAGGATGGTCTCGATCTCTTGACCTCGTTGTCCACCCGCCTCAGCCTCCCAAAGTGCTGGGATTACAGGCATGAGCCACCGCGCCTGGCTCAGTAATATTTTAATGGCAGAGTCTTACACTTGGGAGGTTTCTTCAGATGGTTAGCTTTGATGTTCTTAACTCTGGGCATTTGGTCTTCTAGAGTTCTTTTGGAAAGAATGGGATCATTAGTGAAGTTTGAGAGTGAAATGGCTAATTTGTCTTGTTTCTCATAACAAGGAGAAATCTCTTCTTAGCCTGAAGCCACCAAGACACTTCAGAAGATTTGCAGCAATCTCTAGCATTAAGGAAAAATCCAACATTTGATGAAAAATGTTTAACTCCTGAATGTGTCGTTGTTGGAGGTTGATCCAACAAGCTTGCAAACATATTGTTTGTGCAGTTAATGCGATGAAGTGTCTAAAATATGTGATTCTGCTAAGTAAATAGTTCTCACACAGCCTTCCCTCTTCCTGATCATAAGGTTGAGTGATGAGAATCTTTTTCTCCTTTGCAAACATATTGATATAATTCTTGCTAAGTTTCGTCACATCTTTCTTTACCCTTTGATTTGACAGCCTTCAGCAGATGGTAAAAATATATGAAAAAGTAAGTAACAAACATGGAAAGCTTAGAGATGTGATTTTCCTTTAAGGAGTTTATGCATTATTTTTGAGATGGAGATTTTCATATTATCTATTAATATCTTTTTAAAGCACCACCACTCCCAAGTGTTAACTATATTTGAGAATCACTCTACTAAGTGTCTTAAAACTTTTCCCACATAATCTTATTTAAGCGAGTATAAATGCAGAGGCCCCCATCACTTGCTCTAGATCTTCTCTAGTTCCAAAGAGAATGGGAAGCTTCTCTGATTTTGTAATCATTTATTCAGCAAATCTTTGATTGTTTTCTGTGTCAGGCACTGTGCTGGGCACAGAAGATCCTATGGTGAAGAAAACAAAACCAAAGAAAAATGCAGCCTGTGTTTGGAGGCTAGTGATAGTTAGAAATCAAGTAAATAGGCCGGGCGCGGTGGCTCAAGCCTGTAATCCCAGCACTTTGGGAGGCCGAGGCAGGTGGATCATAAGGTCAAGAGATCGAGACCATCCTGGTCAACATGGTGAAACCCCGTCTCTACTAAAAATACAAAAAACATTAGCTGGGCATGCTGGCGCGTGCCTGTAATCCCAGCTACTCAGGAGGCTGAGGCAGGAGAATTGCCTGAACCCAGGAGGCGGTGGTTGCGGTGAGCTGAGATCACGCCATTGCACTCCAGCCTGGGTAACAAGAGCGAAACTCTGTCTCAAAAAAAAAAAAAAAAAAGAAAGAAATCAAGTAAATACATAAATCCGCTAGTTCCCACTGATCCACAGTTTCACTTTACTTGGCTTCCATTAGACATTGTAATGTCTCCTAAACTCTTGACTCAGGCATGACTTGAAAATTTCACTAGTCACTAAGGGAAAACTAGTAACATACTATGAGTATTGTTTTTATCCGTCTGGTGCCTAGCACAGGATCTGGCACCTAGCTTACTGATTCCTTGTTAATTTAGTTATTGACTAATGGAGAGACAGAAACGCATGTGATAGTTTTTAATGGCCCACTAGGATAAACAACAAACCAAAGAAACTAAATTGAGATAGTAGATAATAATCTGTGAGTACAAGAATGAGAAAGATCAACATGGGTTTATATTTTAGAACTGAAATAACGTCCTACATCATCAAATCCTTTTCATAAGTAAATTGAAGTTGGAATGGTTTAGTTGCTTGGCTGGGTTTAAACAGTCATTGATAGCAGAATTGCCTTTTCAACCCTTTGTATTTTTCTGGAAAGGTTTTGCAGCAGGGCTGAGAGTTTATGTGGTCGGCAGGTGTATAGTTTCAGATAGATAGAGAAGACAGCACTCCAGACCTAGAGGTTTGAGTTACCTGTAAGATCAATGTGAGTAATATGGCTCTGAAGATAATGAAACATAAGAGAGAGTGGAAATCCCTCACACTAGATAGGTATTCACTGAGGAACCTTTCATGGCCAAGTGTGTCTGCAAGTGTTCGAGAATGGCATGGTGTGACTGTTCTGTGGAATAATCAAGGAACTCTGTTGCCTTTGACTTCTTTTTACTTTTTCTTTTTTTCAAAATATCTTGTAGCAAAATAGTGAGAGTGCAGCTTCTGGAGCTAGAATGCCTGGTAGCCTTGGGAAGTTACTTTATCTGTGCCTCAATCTTCCAATTTGTAAAATGTGAATAATATTGTGCATATCCTCATATTTCTGATTACTTAAGAAGGCCCTCATATTTACTACTGTAAATTGAACTGTAGCTCTCTAGCTTAAAAGAATAATTTTGTAAATTATCATATATCAGCACCTCAGTATATTTAAGGTCCTAACCATCAGCCATGAGTCCACAGTCCAAGGAAAACACCCCTCTATTTAGCTGAGCTAATGTTTCTGTTCCATCCTGCTAGGTGGAGTTCTTGTGATTTGATTATTCCATAAGAGCTCTGTAATTATTAAGTGTTTCAGATCTAGAGACTCAAGTTGGCTGTAGAGCTTTAATAACCCTATCTTGAGTAGCTTGCTTGGTGAGGTCTATAAGTATCAACAATACAACTATCAAAAGTCCTATGTTTATATTGGTAGAGACAATTTGAGATGAGCTTCTCATCCTGCAGAGTCTGAGAGGGAAAGAGAAAAGGAAGGAGAGTGAGGGTGTTATCTGGAGCATACCAATGAAATTTGACTTCTTAAAAATCCAGCTGTGAGATTAAGTCAAAATATGTTTGTTACAGGTTAAACTTGAAAAAGTAATTTATTTGAAATTATTTGTATTGAATTTTTTTTCTTTTTAGACCTCATTTTTATTGGTTTATTCAGCAAATATATTTTTGTTACCAACAGTACATAAAACTAGGATTAAAAACAAAACATTCAAAGGCAAGGGTTTATAATTCAGTAGGAAAGCAAGAAGAGGCAGGCTATTACCACAATTCAAAGTAGCTGTGTATGTTTAACCAGAAGAAAAGTTCAGTAGGCATGTTCAGGAGGAAGAAGTGTGTTTAGCAGGAGAGAACATCCTTCAAGGAGAGACTACTATTTGAGTTGGATTTTGAAAGATAGGTAAACAGATAATTATGTTGGGAGAGAGGGCATTCTTGGTAGAGAAAAAATGTCCTGGAGATGGCAACTGTAATTAGTGAGGAATAGTGGATGATGAATCTGAAAGGCAGATTGAAGAGGCCTGCTCTCTGTAGGCAGGCAGGTGATCCAGCCAGAGCTGGGGGTTAAACATGGAAGGTGAGGAGAGGGAGGATGAGTTTGCCGCATGATCTGGGAATCAGCAGAACCAAGTCAGTGGCATCGTGAAATACCTTATTGGAAGAGGCTGAGCCGGTGGTACCAGGACTTAATTCAGGTTGGTGGCAGTAGGAAGGGGCCACCTGGGCTGAATGCAGAAAGGTGTGACGGAGTGCACTGACCTGGTTTGCAGAGACAATGAGGAGCAGCTGGTGACTAGCACTGGCATGGGCAGTGAGTAGGTGGGAAAGGAAAGCCCAAGCTGCCTGCGGGACTCACAGACGGAGTCCAGTAGGTTGAGCGCTGGTCTTAAGGGGCTAATTTAAGAGAGAGAGAGAGACTGAGTTCATGTTATCATGTCTCAATATTTATATCTAAATTTTTGATGTGTGTGTGTGTGTGTATGTGTGCATAATATTTTAAAAGACTAGTTTAAAGAAATGCTAGTAGTTTACCATTATGGGCGTTCCAAAAAAGAAAAAATTCATTGTAAATCCCATCATGTTGACTGATTTTTGTATACTGATTTCTCATCATATCTACTTATGTGCTGATAGTTGTATTCATTGTGTGTTTAGGATTTTCTTTTTTTTCTTTCCTCTTTTCTTTTCCCTTTTATTTTCTTTTGGCAGGGTTTCACTGTCACCCAGGATGGAGTGCAGTGATGCAATCATAGCTCACTGCAGCCTTGACCTACCGGGGCTCAGGTGATCCTCCCACCTCAGCCTTCTGGGTGCACCACTATGGTCAGCTAATTTTTGTATTTTTTGGTAGAGTCAGGGTTTAGCCATGTTGTCCAGGCTAGTCTCGAACTCCTGCATTCAAATGATCCATTCGCCTTGGCCTCCTAAAGTGCTAGGATTAGAGGCGTGAGCCATCACAGTCAACCTGTTGCTTGCTTTATACTTTAAATCATAAGCATTTTCTACATGGCCTTATATATATATATATATATATATATATATATATATATATATTCCTTTAAGTACAGTTTTGATGGTGGCATACTTAAGAATTGTATTTTTTATTTTTCTATTGTTTTCCATTTTATTTGTTGCCAATACAAAATATTTAATCTATGTTCTAGATGAAAGAAATCTGATTTTTATATACTGATTTCTCATATCTATTTATGTGCTTATAGTTATATTCATTGTGTGTATAGAATTTTCTTATATCCTTGTTTCTATGAGAAAATGTATCCTGCATTCTACTGAAATCTTAGGCAAGAGTCTATTTCTAAAACATGAACTACTTGTACAATGGAAAAAAAATAAGTCTTTTCCACTCAACTTTTGGGTGTAGGTTCTAATACGCTTGCTGGTCTTCATGTCTGATACACTTGCTGGAAGGGCGTTGATTCAGCCCTTCCCCAGTAATTTCCTTTTCTTTTTCCCCACCGTAATCATGCGTTATCACCCAGCAGTAATCAACATGTAACTGACGGATCCAGTTTGTTCTTCCTAAGGGTTGGAATGAGTAGACCTCATCTTGACCAACTAAATTGCCTTGCCACATAAACACAGTGGAATCTCCTGGAATTCACTCGAAAGAGTAAAGCAAGTTCATATTCTAAAATAAATATGGTTGGAACTATGCCTCATGCATTGGAAACCACCCCAAAATGCGGTAGGCAGTTCAGGCTGGGCTGAGCCGTCCTGTTCTTTTGCTGATCCCAGCTGGACTTACTCAGCCATCTTCAGTCAGTTGGTGGCTTGGCTGGGGTTGGCTGACTTACAATTGCTGCATCAGATGCAACTGAGAAAACTGGTGCCTTTTTTTATAAGGCTTTTTATTAGAAAACCTTTCATTTTTTAGCATGGCAGGTTATCTACGTGGTGGCAGTGGCACGGAAAACTGAGGAACTCAGACCCCCAAGTGTTTGGGGGGTTTAGTTGGTTTGCTTGCTGATGTCCCATTGGTCATTTCAAGTTAATGGTCACTCCATACCTCATATTTAAAAGGTAGAGAAATAGATTGTTTCTTGATGGGGATATCTACAGGGGTAATTAAGAATTTCAGAGCTAGAAATTAGTTGTTTACCATATTAGAACCTTGGTGAAGTTGATGTGATTTTCATGAAATGGCACAAAGAAATTATTTGGTCTAATATGTCAATATTTGGGATGTTTAGAAACTGAAATTAAGGATTACAACCTGGGGAAAATGTTGACTCTAGAAATAGATTTGTGAGGTCTCTAGTTAGAAATGACAGTTATAAGACTTGGCCAAGGGAGAAAGTTTAGAAGGGAGAAGAAAATATAAATAATGAACAGATTATTTGTTCAGGTGAATTAGCGAAAATAATTGTAATTAATATTTACATATTTTTTCTATGAATATCACTGGTACAGTATTTCCTAGAATTAGGTGCTAAGGGCATATCTGATGAATATCAATAACTTCTAGTGGCATCAATAAAGGCCAGAAAAGAACCTGTGACATGACCATAAGCCAATAAGTAATTTGAAAGATTTTCCATCTTGGGTATTTAGGAGCTCTAGCAAAATCTGTTTCCTTAAAAAACCTCTCAGAATAGCTATTTGCCAGGAATTCGGCAAGTTGAGCCAGAAAGTGATTTGTTTGATAACCTGCTAAAAGTAGTAGATGTTTTATGAAATGAAATAACTTGATGCATTTTCTTAGGGTCAAAATAAAGATTGAGGATGTAGCCCAACTGCTTGTTGTGACTTGCAGTCCACAGCCTCTGAAGCAAAGGGAAGGATCAATGGCGCATCCTAGATCCTCTCTGGAAATCCTAGATTCTAGCTCTAAGCCTTTTGGAATTGGAACAATGTTGTAGAGCAGGGGCATCCAATCTTTTGGCTTCCCTGGGTCACATCTGAAGAATTTTGTTGGGCCACACATAAAATACACTTAACACTACTGATAGGTGATGGGCTTTAAAAAATCTCAAAACAATATCATAATGTTTTAAGAAAGTTTATGAATTTGTTGGTCCACATTCAAAGCCATCCTGGGCCACATGTGCCCCATGGGCCGTGGGATTGGAGAAGCTTGTTGGTAGAAGTTCTGAGCTGTGTGTACAAGGCATGTGGGATAGAAATGAGTGAAACAGTTGTTCTCCCTTGGGAGCAATTTTGTCCTTAGGGGGCATTTAGCAATGCCTGGAGACATCTTCAGTTGTCACAACTGGCAGTGGGAGGGAGGAGCTGGGGGATAGGGGTACTGCCACTGCCATCTATTGGTTGTGCCAAATAGGCACTGGATGCTGCCAAATATCCTTCAGTGAGCAGCACAGTCCCCCCACAAATGGAATTATTTTGCCTAAAACATGAATAGTGCTGAGATTGAAAAACCTGACCAAGTAAGAAAAAACAGCTCATCTTTGTCATTCCACATTTTTATTTATTTATTTATTTTAATTTCAATAGCTTTAGGGGTACAAGTGACTTTTGGTTGCATGGACAAATTATATAGTAGTGAAGTCTGAGATTTTAGTGAACATGTCACTTGGGTAGTGTACCTTGTCCCTGATACATAGTTTTTTATCCCTCATCCTCCTCCCTCCCCCATTCTGAGTCTTCAATGTCCATTATTTCACTCTGCGACATCCATACTTTAAAGTAAGGAAATGTCCTCTGAAAATTCTTTGTTTCCTCTGTGACTCGATCCCTCCCTCACTCCAAAGATAAACATTGTGCCATTCTGTGAACTTCAGAAGACTAAGTCTGCTTTGTTTTTTGTGCCTGGCCCATGGGGGAAAAAAATCTCTGTTGATATTTCATGGTCTAGGTACACTTTCAGCAATTAACACTCCATTTGGCGGCACGTACGGAAGTCGGGCACACCCTTCACCCCATAGAAGGGCATTTGATGTCTCAATATTCCTGTGCTAATCAGTGAATTTTCTGTTCTTGCTGCCAAATTTGACAGAGTAAAAAAAGAACTGGAATGTTTCTAAAGAGAAGGAATTATGCAATGATTTTTAACTTTATGAAGTTTAAAGCCAATCTACATGAGAGGCCAGAAGGGAA